CCTTGCTCTTCATCACTGTGGTGAACGCCGCGATGGAAACGCTCAGACGTGAATCTCCTTGGACAGTTCTCTACGCAGACAATATGGTCTTGATGGAAGTACCAAAAGGAGCTACAAGACGAGGTACAAAACTAAGACAGGCTAGAGATGCATGGCTTGAAGCTCAACATCAGGAAGACAGGATATAGGAATGGGAAGCAAACTCCTGATACCATAAGCATCAATGATAAAGAGCTAAAAGACTTCATAAAGTACCTTGGCAGTACACTTCAGCGGAAGGAGGCCTACAAGAGCAGGTCGCAAGCAGGATAAGCAAAGCGTAGATGAAATGGAGAACCTTAACAAGACTGACAGGCGGATGCCAGCTCAGCCCACATCCCAACTCTACCGGACCGTTATCCGTCCAGGAGCACTGTATGGTAGTGAATGCTGGCCATGACGCGAAACGAGGAGCGCAAGCTCGTGTCATGGAAACAAAGTGGCTATGATGGAATTTAGGAGTCACGCTGAAAGATCGCATCTGCAATGACACGTGCAGATGAAAGTATTAGGTTGTTGCAAAAATAATGTCCGTTTTTCTAGGCCTATATTTCAAACAACTTTTTTTCGTCAAATTTTCTTTTTCGATAGAGGATTTGCATATCATCGGAAAGCTCTCTTCATGTACTTTCTAACAGTGGTGGAATTAGGCTGCTATCCTCATCTGTGAGAATTCTACCAGCATTTTGCGCATCCGCACTCAAAATCGAAATCTCATAGCTTTCACTCTCTTGGCCACAATTCAAAAGCAAATAAACGAATTCTTCTGAAAACATAGCATTTGTATTGGATGAAAATTGTTTACCTACTGCATGCTTATGTCGGTTTTTGGATACATCCGGTTTGAGAAATTAACGCCTCGAAATAAATACTGGCTGCTGGCATTCTATGGATCAGAAATTTCTCATAATTAAGGCAATCGCCAAAGCTTCGCCCATTTCTAAAAGCTTGAAATTAGCACACCTTAACTACAATATTTGAAGGGAAACTCAGCTATTAAGCGTGCAAAAAATTCCAAATTTTCATAATTTGGCATTTACAAGCCTCCAACAAGTAGGCTCAAAAAAGTGAATTTTGTAAAAATTTTATCTTTTCTTTTCGCAAAACTCTTTCGTTAGAGCCTTTTCTATACACAGATGAACTCATGGTCTGCTGCTACAAATTAAGTTGATTGCCAGCTATACGAACAAAATTGAAGAGAGTTGTAAACTCTTGAAGACGAGGTTTTCAAAAGAAAAACTTTCAGTTCTCTGACGCGCCGTTTTTTTCCCGTCCGCGATATCGGTAAGAGCAGGAGCGCACTAAATTAAGAAAGGTTTGCTCTTTCTGATGGTCCTAACCACATTCAAAAATTCGAAGATTGAAGGAAGTTACAGCCCTCCAAAGTGAAAATTTGCAAAACGGACATTATTTTTGCAACAACCTAATAGCTTCAATTAATCAGACAATGCAGAAGAGATGATGGGTACGAGCATGTGTGCAGAAGGGAGGAAAGCCACATAACATTTTAACCTTGGCGGTGAAGGCACTGGGCAAAAGACCCAGAGGTAGGAAGATGTGGTGGATGGACGAAATCAAGGCCGACCTGTGAGAACATGGAATAGATGAAGACCTTGGCTCACAAAGGAGAACATGGAGACAGCTGACGAAAAACAATCCCTGCGTAAGCGAGATCAGATGCGGGAAAATGTGAACATTGCGAGCTTTGCAAATCTGACCAACAGAAATTTGTTGATAAACAGTGCGAAACGCTAAGTTTTTTCGAAAGCTAAAAAGTAAATTAAAGTTCAAGACTTGTTCTGTTTATGGCTCATTAAACTTGGAAGTATCTTTAATACCTCTAGCAGGGAGTAGAAGGGTAAAAGCGGGTTTGAGTTATTGCGGAAAAGATTATTTCTACTGCGCTTTACTCTTTACTAACTGGCTTACCCGGCTCCGCCCGGCCCTGTCAAAACACTATGACAAAGCTTCCATCCCTATCCCTGTACACCTTTCTCTGTGCCCACTTCTACATACCAACTCCATCTCCCTATTCCTGTGTTAGATTTCAACATTCTCACTTATCCCTGTGCGAATTCCCAGCCCCGTGGCTCAAAATTTACGAAAAAATCGATAAAATCAAAAGTAATGGATAATTTTAAACTAATGTGGTATTCCTAATCAGCATACTCGATTACCCCCCTGTGCCAAGTCCCAGCCCCGCAGGTCAAACTTTGCAAAAAATCGATAAAATCGATAAAAATATGGTAAGTCAGCGTTCAAATTACTTCTGCGAGCTCTACGAACCATTACCGATTACATTTTTTGGTGTTTTTCAACGTCTATAAAATTCGTGATTTTCAAATACGATTAACTTGGTTCCAATGTGAAAAAAAACAGCTTTGTTACACTCATAACAAATTAACGCTCCCTATTAGTCTGTGGTAGAAATCAGCTTCATATAATTCACACATGATGAATTCAGAAGTGCTGCCAAAATTTCAAACAACGCGTTTTTCATCTTAAGTGCTTTAAATCCATGGATCATCACCAAGTCAAATAAGTCTAGGAAGAATGGGTTAGGACCAACCCCTTAAAATGTCAGGCTGCCTGAGCTTTTGTAGCCTTGTGCATGAATCCCTTAACTTGTCTTCAAAATCCAAAAATTCGTTCTTGGCAAGAGTATCGCGCTCATGACATCTTATACAGCGAAAATTTGGAGCCAAACGCCCCACCCCTAGGGAAATTATGAGATTTCGAAGGCCCATTCAGATCAAAATCCGTTGTGAAATCACGTGTACTTGTAAAAGTGCAGTTAGAGAAAATAGAGCGTGCAGACTTCACAAATTTGAAAACTCTCCAAGACAGGGTGATATTTTCTAAAATCACACTCAAATTTCGGAAGTGAACGGGAGAGAGAAGGGAAGGGGTTGCTTTTGGGTAATTGGAGGGAGGGGGAGGGTCGTTTTCAGAAGACTTCTGCCCGACTTCTTTCGCACCTTGATTGTCACCTTTCTAGCGGCGTTCATGAGTATGGGTATTGCGGCAATATCACACAATTTACGTCTCAGCCATCGATATCAAATTTTTTATTCTTCTAAAAAAGGTTATTTTCATCATTATCCTTTGATCCATGAAATGTTTGATAGAGAGATCAATTTCATCGCAAAACGCAAGGCATTGTATTTTTCTACGCGGTTTTTACAGCATCTCGGAAGTATGTTGCGCCTTCTGGCCGTGTCGATCAGCTGTTCCTTTGGGGTCCAATGCGATTACATACAGTTTTAATCATATCCTCTTACAGGTGCCGCATGTCTGTGCCTTCCCACCGATGTTCCTCGAAAAATCAAAATGCACACTGTTGAATGGATACGCTTGAGAAATGCATGCAGGTTCAAGCACGCGCGATGTCAACTTTTGCGGCCAACTGCGTTGTCGAAATTCCTCTGGAATAGTGACTGCGGACTATAACATGAAACTGTCAAAGCCTATGACAGGTCCTGAGCAAAAGCCAGAGTTGGCAACTTTCTGCGATTTGTGCCAATTTGCCGGCATCTATGATACTATCCATTTTCCTATCACTTACTGTCAGTGTACGTGTACACATTACGTACCCACTGTACCACTGAAGGTGATGGGGACGCATGCGGGTCAGGTCCCGCGTGACCGCCTCGCCTAAGCTGTCTTTGCGAGCAGGCTTTCTGTTCATTCTCCCACAGCGAGCATGGTAAAGGTCGAGGCTCAATAGTTAATTAAGCGTGGGAGAATGATGAGAGAGCATGCTTGCAGAAAGGTGCGGAGTCTGAGCGAGGAGGCGGTAGCGCGGAACCATAGCCGCATCCTAATCATGCAGAGGGTATAAGCAAATGTGAAAAGTTTTGATAAAAGAAGGTTTCGTTTATAGAAATTTTTTGAAACTCAAGATGTAGTCATAAAGTAACTCAGACAATCGACCGGACCCCTCCGGCGGACAGTCCGAATCTGCCAGAGTCGCGCCGGACCCAGTTGACCAATGAGAGCGGGGCAAATGGGAGGTCCGTCGCGGTGACATCATTGGCAGGCAAATGGGACGCTTCTCCGGCCCTGCTGCAAAGGTACGCCATTTCTCCGGCGCGGCTCTGCCAGATTTGGCAGAGCCGCGCCGGAGAAATTTGCCCGGCGCGAGTCCGCCAGATTTGGAAGAGCCGCGCCGCAGAAAATGGGAGGGGTCCGGAGCACAAATGGGAGGTCTCCGGAGCAGAAAATGGGAGGTATCTGGAGCAGAAAATGGGAGGTCTCCGGAGCAGAAATTGGGAGGTATCCGGAGCAGAAATGGGAGGGCTCCGGCGGACGAGTGGCAGACCCACCGCTGGGGAAACGCCGCGACCCTACCATTTCTCCGGCGGAGGGGTCCTATCCGCTGTCTGAGAATATCCTCGTCCGTGATGTACTGTCTAAACTGTCGTACAGAGAAACCCGGTTTTTGCATCTTGAGCTTGTGCGAGACTGTTTTTGGGCACATTCATCCTGTGCAAATTATCCAAATTGCATGCAAATTGTATTGTAACCAAATTATGTATGAGGGAGACGTAATGTGTGTCACAAAATATTCAGCATACTTTTTTGCTTCCCTAGTCAATAAACTACCTTGCCGAATCAAGCCAAATGCGCATTTCGCAACCGCTGTGTGCCTTTTGATCTGTATGTTCAACTGATTGTCAGCACCCCTAGTCAAACCCCATCCCGCCATTCATTTGATTCAATAATTCATTGAAATAATTCAGTTTTTGCATCTACGTGTTCTGACAAACACTCTATCATCGATTTATTTGCAAGTGGAGATTACTAGTAAAGTAGTTGATATCTCATTAATTGGGAGACGAACAAACATGATAGAAGACAAAGCCAATTTTTTGGTATACTATAAATCTACTCGAACTCTTGCGCTTAGAGCGTCGAGTGATTAACGAGAGACAGTAACACAGCGCAGTTTGATAGGGCGGCTAATGCGGTGGAATTTCCAAAGTTAATGAGTCCTTTGGAGGAGCTATCTTCATAGGGTGATTTTTGGAGGTGACACCAGCTGTAGAGCTATGATCAACACGTGTAGTAACTCTCTCCAGCATTTTCACACCACAAATTTTGCGCATAATAGCGGCTTTGATTTCACGATGAGCCATGCCGAATATGAAAGCGTGAGAAAGGCCGGATAGGGTGGCGCAAGTTCCCACAAAAAACGAGACTTCTTCCAGTAGCTGCAAAAGGTCTACTGCATTCTGTACATTCTGGCAGAATATAGTGGCCCACCTTAAAGCTGACTATTGTACCAACACCGTTAAGACAACCTGGTACCACTCCGATGAGTGCAGATACGAGCAGGATATAGAGCGCAACACGATTGGCCTAAAATCTTCCCATTATAGTGAAGTTCAAAGCAGTTCAACAAATTGCTGACACTCTTATCAATCTTGCTTTTGTTGTGTTTTTCCACTTCAGCTGCTTTCGACATTAGAGCAGAGCGCTTGTAGAGATGGTAAACAATCAGTACAGTCAATATGCAAGATAGAAGGTTCATCATCATGTTTGATAGCCCCCAATAAGCGCGAAATAACTGAAATTGATTGCTGTTGTAAAACCATGCGGAATAAGTATACAATCACGCTACCTCATTTGTAAAACAGCCAAATGAACTGCAACCAGGAACACGCTGTATTTTGACGGTCAGTTGTAAAACAATCCAGTCAATGAAAGCGAGGAGGAGAGCGAGTACGAAGGCAGCGACGGACCAACTGGAAAAACATGTTGTAAAAATTGTTACTTTTGCTAGTCAAGGGCTAGGTTGGGCTTCTGTCTTAGATTTACAAGCGAATAAACCATGCTCACGTTCCGATTGTTTTAGTTGAGCGGAAAAACTTTTTTACTTACGTCCTCTTAGATTGTCTATAGTACGCTATGGGGAAGTACAACGCCCGTAAACGATCAATGGCTATCGCAGTGGTAATCGTACATCCAGCTTTCATCAAAGCAGCTGAAGGTCCGCCAAGTGGCACCACAATCCAAGGATCGTAGTCAAAGGGCACGTCTGTAAAGTGAATATATTGAGCACAATTTTTTGCTTATTATTACCCTAATTTCACGCGTACAAAGCGCGGGGTGGTCCTAGCTTTCATCGAGCTGCTCAGCCGCCCCAATGTGTTTTAAGAAGCGATCCTTATGCCGCAAGATTCGTCAGGCAAAACGCAGCACGGTATGGGGTTCCTTTGGTTGCGAAGTCCTTTGCCGTGTTCGGGCTGGTCGATGAAAGCTAGGACCACCCCGCGCCTTGTACGCGTAAAATTAGGGTATTTATACAAAAATTCTTGTTGTAAGCCATATGTCTGCGATTGCAATGCCTGAGAGCACTACCCCATGTTGCATGACTTCTATCTCAGAAGATAGAACAGTGAGACCCAGCTGATTGAAAAAGTGATTAAAATCGGTAGTCTTCGCTGATACGTACAAATCATGACGTATAATCGACTCGAGATATTGATGAAATTTCCTTTTGTGTCCGTTGGACTCAGGGTCAAGCGTTAAATGTGGCATGCCACACCGGGGGACGTACTGAGGAATAGGGATGGGGGGAGGGGTCGTCACTGAGGCGATATGATGTTAGTGATGACATGGTATTCGTAGATAGGCATCATATAGTCACATTATGCGAAATACCAACACACTGATGTTTCGGCCTACTACCGTACGCACATTAAGCATAATAAAAAGCTCTAAAAGCATAAAAGCATCATTTTCGTAATTATCATATCAAAAACCCTGTGTGCAAGGTTTCAGCAAATTCTGAAGTTTTCAAATATTGGGACACCTAAATGAGATGGTCATTTCCGAACGCGTTAACTATGTTTCGGAGGTGAGCTCAAAGCATCTTTTTGCACTCACTACAAAAAGCTACTACTTCTTCGCTCCCATTAGGAATTCCATTTCAAATAACCTTTAAACTGTGGAATTAAGAGCAAGCCAAAATCTTGTTTGTCCCAATTTTTGCTTTCAATATCTCAGAGAAGACCATTCAGGCTCACATCACTTTTGTGAAACTACACGATATTTAGGCTATCGGCTATACTTTTTCTCGTCGCCTTCCCTCGTGATTAACGTAGTAGTGTAGACTTAGCATGTTACGTAAGCTAATATTTTCGCAATATCTTCCATTTGCATTGGTTAGGAAAAACGACAACTATATCTTTCCCTAAGAGAAACGAATTTGAATGGAGCTCTTACTATGTAATGATAGAAAACGCAGAGATTTAATTGCTTTGAAGGTAAGTTAATGAGGTGTCGTGTGGCACAACCCCTAAAAAGGTGTGGCAGCCACAGCTTTATTGGGGTTGTGCCACACTCCATTAACTTACTCCAAAGAGAATTTTGGCAATCAAATTATTAGGTTGAACCGAAAGTTCTTTTCCCCCATTTTCAAAAATTCATAACTTTTGATTTTTTCAACCGATTTGAGTGCTTTTATTTTTTAATGAAAGAGCAAGTCATGCTCTTTACAATGACATCTTAGCTGCTTGCTAAAGATCATCTGTTGCATAGATAGGAGCGGTAGAATAAAATCAGTCGAAATTCGAATTTTCTGTGTAGGGTCATAAAAAATCGGCGACTTGCAACAAAAATCGGAGCAGTAGGTAATGTAGGTATTTTCACCGGCTCTTTGTAACAGTGCAAAGTTTGCGCCGATTGAGCGTCTCTATGAAAAGTTATGATTTCTCTGAAAAATGCCGAAATATTAGGTTGGTCCGAAAGTTCTTACGCATCATTTCAAGAAATCATAACTTCATCGCCGTTGGATGGATTTCGTTGAAATTATATCTATTCGAAAGAGGAATCCATGTTCTTTACATCTGTGCCTTAGCCATGAATTAGCCTTGGTAAGTTCGAGAGCTGAAAGCAATTGAAGAAAATTAGTCAAGATCGACATTTTTCAAGCTGGATCACGAAAAGTTCTGGAAGTATTTTTATTTGATGTAGAAAATTTTGCGCATTTTAGTGGTACCTTTCCCATGAATTAAAACGAAAAAGATTGAGAGTTAGGAGCAAATAAAGAGAATTACTTCAGTTTTGCAATTTTTGAGCATGCTCAAAAAAGCCTAGAAACGTCACAGAAAAGGCGGAAAAGTCATAAACATGGGTTTTGTGACCTTTTCTTTTTAGCTGAGCAAGAATCGTGTCAATCGAGAGCAATTTTGTTTTTCGTGATTTTTTCGAATTTTTGGGTCTGCGTTTTTCTCGAAAATCAAAATTGCTCTCGATTAGCAGGATTTTCATTCAGCTAAAAAAAGAAGGTTACAAAACCCATGTTCATGACTTTCCGTCTTTTCTGCGACGTTTCTAGGCTTTTTTAAGCGTGCTCAAAAATTGCAAAACTAAAACAATTCTCTTTATTTGCTCCTAACTCTCGATCTTTTTCGTTTTAATTCATGTGAAAGGTACTACTGTAATGCGCAAAATTTTCTATACCAAATAAAAATACTTCCAGAATTTTTCGTGATCCAGCTTGAAAAATGTCGATCTTGACTTATTTTCTTCAATTGCTTTCAGCTCTCGAACTTACCAAGGCTAATTCATGGCTAAGGCACTGCTGTAAAGAGCATGGATTCCTCTTTCGAATAGATATAATATCAACGAAATCCATCGAATGGCGAGGAAGTTATGGTTTTTTGAAAATGATAATAAATCAAATTCGCCCTTTTGTATTGCTAGCTCGAAAATCATAACTTTTCATAGAGACGCCCAATCAGCACAAACCTTGCACAGGTAGAAAGAGCTGGTGAAAAAACCCATAATACTGACTGCTCCGATTTTTGTTGCAAGTTTCCGATTTTTATAACCCTACACAGAAAATTCGATTTTTGACCAATTTTATTCTATCGCTCCTATCTATGCAACAGATGACTTTTAGCAAGCAGCTAAGATGTCATTGTAAAGAGCATGACTTGCTCTTTCATACAAAAGTAAAAGCAGTCAAATCGGTAAAAAAAAATCAAAAGTTATGAATTTTTGAAATTGGGGGGAAAGAACTTTTGGTTCAACCTAATATATACAGTTCGATAGCCAAAATCCTGAAAATTTCGTAGAAGTTAGGGCTGATTCGTCTTCTTTGTTTGCGCAATAGTTGCTGAAAGCACAACCACTGAAGCTTAAATGAGACAAGTGAGTTTTGGCTGGCTCTAATTCCATAATTCGACAGTTATTTGAAGCAGGATTCATTATATGAGCAAATAGGAAATAGTGCCTTGTACTGAGTGCAAAAAGTGGTAGATAATTCACTTTTTAACATAGTTATCATGTTTTGAAATGAACACTTCATTTGGGCGGTCCAAAACTAGGAACTTTCAGAATTCGCTATCACTTGGCTCACTATTTCACATTAAAATAGCGAATGTTACTAATTATGCCTGGTAACTTCATGTCATGCATATGGTAGGCAAACGATGAGCGGGAAAGTAGTCGTCTCCGGTGGTAGCGGAGAGTCAGAGAGAGTTAGGTAAAGCAAGAGAGTTATGAGCTGCAGAACATTTTCGGAGATAAGGTTAGTGCGCGTGGCATTATATTGGTATAGTAGACTCCGTTGATTTTCTATAAATCTCGAAAGTACCTGGTTCCTTCTTTTAGGGCTCGTTTTATGCAGCTATTTTTTGTGCCGATAGAAAACAGTATCAGATTCAACGTGAAGATTTCTGAACTTGGCAATTGCGCTGGCCTCAGCGCTGGTCTTTACGTTGTGATCATTTATAAGAGTGCTTCAACCTTTTCAAATTATTCTGTTACCATCCAAATCAGGTATTCTGATATCAATTAACCCTATTCGAGGAAAGGAACCCTTATTCCCTTCTGAATACGTACTGACTTTGATTTTGTTTTTAAGAAAGGATGCATAGCATGCTTCACCTTTTCTATTTTTGGAAAAGCGTGCGTGATGTTACTCATTCGCTTACCATTGACCTTTACAGGCGAAACTTAGCCACAAAAACACTACTAAGCTTACCATCTGGTCTTGCTCCAGCGATGAGAATAATCAAATATGGAAATTGTAACACAGCATAAACAAAATCAATGAAGGCCAACGATATCAGCAGAATCAGGCAGTCGTTCTCGCGAAGTTTCTTCGTGGTTGCCCAAACACAGAGTACAATAAAATTAGCAAGGATCTGTAGAATACATATGATGAGTAGAAAGATATCTACGTAGATTGAGATGCTATTTGTGATCATTTATTTCCACTGAAAAGTTTAGGTTAATTACGTACAAGCTTGCAACGAGCTAGATAGATGCGTGTAAAAACATAGAAATCTACATTTGCAATGTGCAAATGTAGCATGGGTATTCAAAATTCAATGTTAGGCAGGAGCAGAAAGAGTCATGACATTTTATCGTACACCTTGGCTGTAGCTGTTGGAAGATTTAATAACGTTGAACTGAAAGGTGTCATGAGTACTATAGCTTCCTGTTAATGTATACTGTTCTTAAAAAGTACCCGACTCCAAGAGGACAAGTGTTTTGTTTCACATGGAATAGCTAAAAAAGATATACTGAAGCGAAATGAGAGCTGACAGTGAGAAGCAAATTAGCAATTAACAAAAAGATGTGAGAACGCATTCTGGTATTAAGTAAATCCAAGTGGCAATGGCATCTCGTGTGCTCACTGTTTATAAACCCGCCTTTGTCTGGAGCTGAACTTTATCTTTCCAACAAATGCGTTCCTTGAAAGCAGGTTTCTTCGTGGATGTTGCTTAGCTTCCTGAGTATCCATTCACAGGTGTTATTGTTGATAACGCATTGATATTTGCTGGACAATGGGTCTTTGACAATACATTGTCTGTAACATCAACTCCGCACGATCTCTATTTTCTTTCATGTGCGATGGGGAATCGTACGCATAAGAATACTGTAGATCTTTGATATGTCAGGTAGCAGATTAAATTGTCGCGACGACTTAATCCATGGTCATAATGTAATCACGTATTGTTATGAACTATTATATAGAGAATTTCCTCAAACAATGCATCCGCGAGTGATGCAAGAAATGACCGAAGGATATCACGTCTACATAGGGAACTTGCAGCAAATACTTACATTAAAAATCTTATAACTCAAAAATCTTATGTTGCCATGCAGCCCCAAAGCAAAGTGAGCTATTTTCTTTTTTTGAATGCTATAAACTTATTGTCAACAGTTTAGTTCTTGTTCAATTTGCCACTGCACGTACTTGGCTTGGTATATATTGGCTACTGATAAAATGTCTACCGATTGCAACATAATACATCTTTACAACAAAGTTGAATTTTTTTTTAGAGAGCACTAAATGAGTGGCAGTGGGTGGGAATTCAGGAAAATACAAACTTAAGCTGAAGTACAACCAGAGGAGATTGCAAGCTAGACTTATAATAAATGAAAAACAAGTTGTAACCCTTTTTGAATGGTGTTTGGAGCTTGTTTACACCGACAGACTCCGGCTGCCGTTATGATTGTATTGGTATTTGATAGACAATAGTCACTAATGCAATATTGCTTGTGAAACCGCTTATTTCATATGTTTGAAGATTTTTGACTACTAGCTTTGATTGAGCAATTTTCGGCAGTGCTGAATGTTATACATTAAGCTTGAATGTTTTGGAATTCAGGAGCCTTACTTGATTGGTGGTGCACATCACACAACTTTGAACCAAGTGTCTTATTAGTGTCTTAAATACGAGTGCAATCATTGTGTTCACATGCTCACTTTTATCGCAATAATTTCGTAGGTAACCCAATACAGATAAAAAGGTTGCTTACATTTCTCATCCACTTAAATTAACGCAATGTTTTGTTCTTTTTATTGGTCTCAAATACTTGAAGAGCCGTTTTTCTAGCTTCACAACTCATGACTGAGTATGATCCGCTGTAAGAAAAAAAGGCATGATACTCGTATCTGAGAACAGATTTATATAAAAGCGTCAAGTCTAGGTTTAGGATGAAGCAAAGGCCGAAATCGTATCCTCACAAAGTCACAAGTCTTCACTTATCTTCTCTCAAACAAGGTCAATCCATGAAGAGGAGCTATTTTTACAGGAAAATTTATATTCTAGCTGGTGTGCAATCGCGAATAGTTGGCGATGTACTTTGGCAATGCTATTACACTATTTTCAATCTCCGGCTAAGATTTTATACTCCTATCTTTTACTCAAAGTTAATCGCACCCAGAGAAAGTACTATTCCGTGCGCAACGCCCTTGTCTCTAATGCGCTGGAAATTAGCACTAGTTTTTTACCAAAGTACTAAGCGCACCGACATGTCTCCAATTTCTCGTAATCCATCACAGTATTAAGAAGAAGCAGTAAGTCTGAAATTGTTCAATGATTTACAGAAAAAATAAACTGAGCTCGTGATACTTTCATATCAGCTGTCAACTATCGTACTACACATTGCAAATGTATAAAACAGTATTTAGCTAAACGATTGCACATTTTCGGAGCACCACCGCAAGGTAGAAGGCTTGCCCAGTACAAATTCGCTATTGTACAAGTCGTACTCTTGCGACAATTTACCCGCGCCGCGAGTGGTCCGCAGCCTTTGAGCAGTCCGTGCGGTCAAAGAATCGACGATAACAGGGATTCAAAAGTCACTGAAAAGATTTCAATGTGAACACGCTCGCAGGCCTCAAAGTTGAAGATGCATATTTCGTAACATCCCATTTTTAAAGAGGACTATACTTATATAATATTTGGCTTAACCCACTTTTGTATCTTCGCCTAAAAAAGATAGAAAGAGTGATAGAATTCGAAACAAAGTTAGCACACAATGTATAGGGTGGGTCGTGCGTTAATTTTTTGCCTCTATCCACTTATTGATTTTTTGCAGTTTTTGCTTAGGAATTTTTTTATGTTAGCCCGAAAAGGACAGAAGGAATAATGGAATCTGAACCAAATTTGGCATACTTAATGTATAGGTAGGGCGTGTGTTAATAAGCCATTTTGTTCGGAAATCACGGATTGCCCCTATCGAAAAAAAATTCTATGTTTGCACAAAAATAGGAGAAGTCATCGAATCTAAGCCAAGTTTGGCAGACATAGTGCATGGGGTGGGGTTTTCAATAAGCCATTTTGTTTAGGACTTATCAATTGCCTGTATCGATTCATTGATTTTTTGCAGTTTGTGTAGTATACGTTGCTTAGAATGTTGAGTCAAAATGAGCTGACAAAGCCGAAAATATGTCCTCAGTTTTTCTTTCTGCGTAGGTTATAAATCTGATTCGTGCAATACGGCATATTTTCTGCAAATTTTCACTCTTCTGCATTGAAGTAAAATCAAAAATCAAACGAAAAGTTCACGAGGCAGCGGAGCTGCTGAGTATCAGCCGAACCTGCGGCGGAGCGGAAGAGAGCGGCTGGTGATGAAATAAATATTAGGTCGTTCCGAAAGTAATGTCGCTTTCTTCAAACGTATGCCACATCTCGTGGAGCAAAGATGTGTAAGAGATTCTGATAGCATTTGATGCAGCATTTCATTCTCTTTCTAATGGTTATGAAGTTATTGCAATACAGTCAATGAGCTTACAGAAAAGAGTCAAAATCTGCGACCTATGCTTTTTGAGATGGATCTGCCGGACCTATCTGCAGATTGAGTTGTCAGACGAAGCGAAAAAAATGGTTGTAATAAATACGCATAGAGGGCTCTACCAGTACAACAGGCTGCCTTTTGGAATCAAGACAGCACCGGGGATCTTCCAGCAAATCATGAACAAGATGGTGAACGGTCTGCGAGGAGTAGCAACTTACCTGGACGACATCTTGGTCTGTGGACGAACAGAAGAAGAACACATGGAGAATCTGTTAGCCGTGTTTGCAAGAATCGACGAATATGGATTTAAAATTTCGTCTAGAGAAGTGTTCTTTCGGTAATCCAGAGATACGATATCTTGGCTTCATAGTGGATCGAAATGGCAGAAGACCGGACTTAGCGAAGATCGAAGCGATCAAGAATATGGATGAGCCGAAGAATGTTAGTCAACTGAGGGCTTTTCTTGGCATGATAACGTACTATGCGGCGTTCATGCCAAAGATCAAGGACCTTCGTGGACCATTAGATGCAATGCTGAAGAAAGATGCGAAGTGGCAATGGATACGAACACATCAAGAAGCATTCGAAAAGCTCAAGGAAACTTTGTCAAGTGAGCTGAACCTTGCTCACTATGATCCGAGGCAGAAGATCGTCGTGGCAGCAGACGCAAGCGACTATGGTATCGGTTGTGTGATATCGCATAGATATGCGGATGGATCCGAAAAACCAATTGCACACGCATCGAGAGCTTTGACGAAGGCAGAAAAGAATTATTCGCAGATCGAAAAAGAAGCGTTGGGAATTGTCTTCGCTGTCAAGAAATTCCACAAGTACATATTTGGGCGAAAGTTTCTACTGCTGACGGACCATCAACCATTGTTAACCATCTTCGGTGATAAGAAGGGAGTTCCAGTATACTCCGCTAACCGACTTATGAGATGGGCTACAATTCTACTTGGATATGACTTCGAACGACATAGAGTATGTGAAGACTACAAAGTTCGGACAAGCTGATGGCTTGTCACGGTTGATGAAGAAGAATCAGAATCCCGAAGAAGACGTCGTAATAGCTGCCGTTGAGAACGACGTAGACTACATGTTGAAGAATTGTATTAGGAAACTACCAGTGACAGTATCAGATGTGCAATCCTACACGAAGAAGGGCCCAGTGCTATAAAGAGTAATGACCTACTTTAAAAAAGGGCAGTGGCCAGACATGAAAGGAGAACTGGCACATTTTCGAAATCGAAGAAAAACACTGTCAATCGTGGAGCAATGTCCTGATGTCAGCCGAAAGAGTTGTGATACCCAAGGAGCTTCGAGGAAATGTTCTGAAGGAACTGCACAGTGGTCATCCAGGGATTGTAAGGATGAAGAAACTGGCTCGAAGTTACGTCTATTGGCCGAATATCGACAAGGATTACGAAGACTTGGTACGAAGATGCACGAAATGTCAGGAGTTAGCCAAAAATCCGACGAAGGTACCATTAGAAGCGTGGCCGTCCGCGACTCGAGTGTGGCAGAGAATACACATCGACTTCGCTGGATCTATGCAAGGAGTTTTCTATTTGGTCGTGGTAGATGCGTACAGCAAATGGCCTGAAATGATCGAGATGACCAATATCTCGGCTGCGAAGACGGTGAAGGCTTTGAAGAACTTGTTTGCGAGGTATGGATTACCGCAAACAATAGTGAGCGACAACGGTACCCAGTTCACATCGGACTTATTCAAGAAGATGTGCGACGAAGGTGGAATTACCCACATAAGAACTGCTCCATACC